CCAGCCCATCCCCCAGCCCCGAAGACCCTTGTTACCTACAGGATGCTTGACCGAATAGTTCATGATGATGTAGTCGCTGCCCATCGGCAGCCAGGAGCGCAGCGTGATAACGTCCCGGTTCTTCAGGGGTTTGGGACACTTCCCTGCCAGGGGAGGGGGGAGGGGACAAGAGAAGGGGACCCGGATGAGTCAGGGGGCTCCAAACAGCTGGACACCCCCAGCGGCCGGTTTCTGCTTCAGACGGGAAGGCGCTTCTGGGTAGCCGAATGTCCAGGGTGGGATTTGAATGATTCCACCGCCTGGGAGACTTTAGGGGACTGGTGGGGGCGGGGGGTGGAATCAGGACTCTTGACGGAGCCAAGCCTCAATGCTTGTGGACATTTGAGGCAGGCTCCTTCCCCCACCTTCGCAGAAATTTATCTAGCATAACCAAACACCCGGACTCCTATGGGGCCCTTGCTGCTCTCAGAGCGTGGAGCCTTTCTTGAAAATGTCTCATGACCCAACTAGGGAACATCATCAGTGCTAGGAGGGAGGGAGGAGGAGGAGGAAGAAGACTGTGGGGTCCTTGGTGCTCTCGGAGCTTGGTGGCTTTCTTGCAGGCGTTTCATGGACCAGCTAGGGAACCTCATCAGTGCCAGGAGGGGAGAGGGGTTGCTCTCTGTCTATATACAGAACCTGGCCCTGTCAACAGGGGTGGGGATGTCCTTGATGAGGCCGTTCTTTACTGTTTGATTGGTGGTCTGAGTTGGTTGTTCCTGGATGGGGCAACACTGATAGGACAAGCCATCTGTATGTAAACAGAGGGCAATCCCCACTCCCTTCTAGCACGGGTGATGTTCCCTAGCTGGGTCACGAAAGGTCCATCGAAGACCCCCTGTATCGGATGAGGAAGTTGGCTGCTCTAAGTGTCAAATCCGAAACCCTCACTGGGCCCCCCTCCCGGAGCGAATCCCCATGGATCAGCCTCCCTCTGGGACCCATCTGGCCCCACCTTCCCCCACCCCCACCCCTCCCGCCCACCCCCCTTTCTCACAGGCATAGTATCCGACGTCTGCGTTGACGGTCAGTTTGCCGATGTCGAAGGTCTCGATGACGTTGGTGTCCCACTTCTTCCGGTACTCGATGTCGTGCAGGACGTCGTACAGCGTTTCTGCGGAGACATCTTTGCAATCCATCCTGCACTGGAGAGAGACCGGACATCAGGAACCTCCGTGGGTTTACGCAGGAGTAAGCCCAGCTACGTCCCCCAGGAGGGCTCTCCCTCTGCGGTTAGCCCGCCTCAACCTACGACCACAACGGAGGCCAAAATTCCCATCGCTAAGTGAGACATTGGCTTTGTCCCACTGTATGACCTTTCTTGCCACAGTCCTCTAGTTACGACCACAACGGAGCCCAAAATTCATTTTGCTAAGTGAAATATGCGACCACAAACGGACCACAGAAATTCTCTCAAGGAGCACGACGGTTCTCAAGAAAGTTTGCCCCGTTGTACGACCTTCCTTGTCACAGCCGTTAAGTGAATCACGGCAGTTGTAAAGTGAGTCACGTGATCGTTAAGTGAATCTGACTTCCCCACTGGTCAGAAGGTGGCCAAAGGGGATCACGTGACTCCGGGACACCCTGACCGTCATAAATATGAGTCAGTTGCCAAGCATCTGGTTTTGATCGCGTGACCCTGGGGAATGCTGCAATGGTCATAAGTGTGAAAAATGGCCACGCATTTTTTCAGTGCCATTGCAATTCTGAATGGCCACAAAATGAAGCTGTTGTAAGTCGAGGACTACCTATATTGCCCCAAAGCGCCTTCCTCTGGTCTGAATCCAGAAAGACAATTTCTGGCGTTTGGGCCCAGCCCTTCCGGTCCAGCCTCCCCTTCCTAAAGCCCCCTCTTCTTCCTCCGGCCAAACAATTAGGATTAACGATGCCCTTTTCAGCTAATGACTCCTTAAGATAACGAAAGGAGAATCTCCCTCCCAGAAACACAGACCCTGCCTTCAAAGAGGAGGAAAAGGGAAGCTGATATGCAAATCCAGAGATGCTTTTCGTGTTAAAAATACTTTAGGAAGAGATGCATTATTTATATTTTTTTATCTATTCATTTAGAAACCGCCCTGCTCTCTCGCAGAGCGTGGAAGGAGGCATAGAAACGTAATGTAGATATCTATATATCTATATATATCTATCTATCTGTATCTGTATATCTATCTATCTATCTATCTATCTATCATCTATCTATCTATCTATCTATCTATCTATCTATCTATCTA